CCCCTAATTGATCTCAATACCTCCTCACCTTCCTCGGTATCACTGATTGGTTCAATATCTTCTGTCTCAGTAAAAAGATCATCTGTCTCACCTTCCTCGTGAATAGATAGAGATTGGATGAAAGCAATCTGTTCTTCTTCCATCTCAAATCTAGTTGCACAAGTAAACATCATTAGGTCTTGAATGGTATTGGCATTTAGACGACCTCTTCGATGATGACAGATATCACGAGCTGAATTAAATAACCTCTCTACACCAGCACCAGTAGCAGGGATAGAGAAGATATCCCGAGCTATACGTGCAAGTGTAGGAAATTCATGCTCATGATCTTTCCAGAACTGTCGAGGGCTAATTGAGACCAAACCTAAGATAAAAGCCATTAGATGAAAGGAGGTGAGACTAAAGGAGATGAGACTAAAAGCTTACCTCCTTGTAGATATCTTGTTAATTCATCTTGGTTCTGGGTGGACTCAGTCTCAAATGCGAGCATTTTATCCAGCTCAGATGCTTGGACAGAAGCCTGAGGCCTTGAGGTCAAAAGGCTATCAGTCTGATATACTTTCATCCAATCTTGAAGACTTTCATGATATATTGTTGCATATTCTTCAGACCAATCCTTGGTACGAAAGAACTGCAATTTATGCTGGGGTGCTAGAATAGTGCCATGCGCATAGATATTATGAAGATCTTTGTCATCTGTTCTCCTATAATACTCTCGAAGCTTGACTTCAGCTGATTCAAGAGCTTCTAGCATCTGTTGCTTCCATCCAACCTAAAATAAGAGGTAAGTAAGAAAAGGTAGATATAAATCAGATGGTGATAGTTGATACTGACCTTCTTCTGTCTTAACTGTCGGATTGAGACTTCAAGATGGTCAAATAGCATATTATAGATACTAAAGACACTATGGATAGTGATATCTTTTGTCTTAGAAAGCGCTGTTGTAAATCGGAAGAAAGTGTTATGGGGTTCTCGTACGAACCCAAAGGATGACAGTTTGGCTAAGGCCAGCACAGAACGCAGCCAGCAAGGGGACCGAAACGACTATTGACGACCTTCGTACGATCCCCTTACATGAAGACTATCGGTGACCTTTTCGGTCAACTCCTGACCTCCGAGAACACTATTTGGAATCTCATTCCCGTACGACCATAAAAGACTGCTCCCACCTCTGCCCTGTTTGTTTCTTCTTCAACGATTCCTTCTTGTATAGTAAAGGGTAGCTTTAGGTTAAGATAACTTGAGTTAAACCCCTAACACTCATTTCGCACCCGACGCGGCTGCTTTGGGTATGCTGATGATATTTGCCAACTTGTGGCCTCCCCTTCCTTAGAGGAAAACTGTATAGCACTTCAGCACTGTATTGAGGAGCTCAGACAATGGGGAGCTAGAGAAGGCCTCACCTTTGACTTCAACAAGACAGAACTGCAACACTTCACCCGCGGGTCCAACCTTTCTAACCCCACATGCTCCATGCACACCCCCCAAGGCTTGCATATTGTCACACCTCCCCCTGCTAGCAGTGCTACGCGCTGGCTAGGCATCTGGTTTGATCGCAGACTGAGCTTCAGAAAACACTGCAGGACTCTGGCCGCAAAGGCAATGCAGTCAGCTGCGGCATCAGATCACTAGTCAATACAGTTAGAGGGACTAGGGCAAACCTACTGCCGCAGGCTACAGTTACCTGTGTCATCTCAGTCCTTTGCTACGGAGCTGAGGCCTGGTGGCCGGGCCGAAGCAGGCCTAAGCCCAGGAACCAAGGCTCCATATCAAATCAAGTTGATTCCGCCCTTTCCTGCCTGGACCGGGTACTCAGAGTTGCTCTCCGAGGGACTCTCCCAGTATACTGAACCACCCCAATCCCATCACTCCACCGAGAAACTGCCGTTCCCCCGATGGAGATCATCCTCAACCAGAAGCGTTCTTCGGCCAGACTGCGTGTTTTTAGACTGGACATTCGCCATCCAGTTTTCAGACGCTTACATCGAACATGATCTTTCCCTTCAAACACACGCCTAACCCATAATCACCTGCCATGGTTGGAAGAGGTAGAACAGACTGACCCTCTGGCCTACCCACCTTGGCAGGATGAGAACCCCAACACTGTCCAAAGTATCTGTCCTTCCCGAGAAAGGGCTGGGGTGACCTTCCAACAATGGGCTGATACATGCCCTCCTCTCTCCATGTTCCTTTTCTCTGATGGCAGCCGCTTGAGTGACTCTGGTGCTTCAACTGGTGCTGGTTGGTATGGACACTGGGGAGCACAGAAGCTAGAATGTACCTGTGGGCACCTCTGCCTCCCCAAGCATGAAGTCTTCGATGCAGAGGCTACTGCAGCATCTGCAGGACTGAAGGCTGCCCTTAATAGTACCCAGGCCTCCTTTACACAGAACCTATACATCCTCCTCGACAATCAAGAAGTGGTACGCCAACTGCAAGGCTGTCCCAAAGGCTCTAGCCAGAGCCTCATCCTATCTTTCCAAGAAACTGCAAATGCCTGGCCCAATCGATTCCACTGATGCCGGGCTATCCCACCGGGACAAGTGCATGTTCGCTGGATTCCTGGTCATGCCGGCATCGCAGGGAATGAGCAGGCAGATGAACAAGCAAAGAAGGGAGCTAGGTCTACCCCTCAGACCAACACTCCCCCAGCAAGATATGCCTGGGCTCACCGGACTCTGAAAGAGGCCTTCTGGCGACAATTCCAGTTATACTGGAC